GACAGTGTTCCCTCTGGTGGTGAGCTGGGCAGTCCCGGGTGGAGGCGGCCCTGAGGGCTCTGCTCTGCAGCCACAGCTGGCTGAGGGTTTCCGTCCCTCTCGGGATGTGGTTTCTCTCACTGTGCCCCTCGCACAGTAATACAGGGCTGTGTCCGTGGCCTTCAGGCTGCTCCACTGCAGGAAGGCAGTGCTGATGGAGTTGTCTGTGGAGATGGAGACTTGGCCTTGGAAGGACGGGCTGTAGCTCATATCAGAATCATCAGGGTATATTCTTCCCACCCACTCCAAGCCTTTTCCAGGCATCTGCCGCACCCAGCTGATCCAGTAGCTAGTAAAGCTGTATCCAGATGCCTTGCAGGAGATCTTCAGAGACTCCCCAGGGCTCTTCACCTCTGCCCCAGACTGCACCAGCTGCACCTGGGCACAGACACCTGTGGAGACAGGAATCAAAGGTCAGAGGCTTTCTCCTCCCAACCCTTAGGGGACCTCAAACCCTGGGCCATCTCTGTCCTGGGAGAACAGCCATGAGGAGTGCAAGGATTTTGACAGACATCATCTTGGAAGGAGGTTAGAAGGGAAAGCAGTAAGGACCCGAGATGAGTGTTGAGTGAGACACCCCTGTGGAGGATTGTGCTTTTAAATGGATGTCCCCACTTTGCATATCTCTGCCCTGCCCTCCAGGTGAGAGTCCTCAGGCCTTAAAAATCTAGAACTCCAAGACAAGGGGAGGTGCAGGGAGAGACCTGAGATGGTCCTAATACCCCCACACACACCTACACACACATTGACATTATCACCCTGGCTCTGGACACCACAAAGCAGGGCCTTCCCATCCCAATGCATCTCTCAGTCCACATTGAGGGAGGGGAGGTAGAAGGTCTGTGTGAGTCTGCAACCTGAGGGACCAGAGAGACAGTACAGAGGGTCCCCACCTCAGTTTCTGGGGGAATCCAGAATGCATCCAGGTTAGAATGTGTCTGTGTCTCTTTAGGGAGGGCTGTGAGGACACCGACCACCCAGATGGTGCCTTCCAATGGACCTTCCAGGTGAACCTTAGCACCATGCAGTTGCAGTCCACTTTTTTTGGCTGAGTAGGGAACCCAGGCCTGAGAGTGTGGGCTTACTCAGAGCGGTCTCTCAAGTCCATGCCTCTTTCAATCAAAGATGAAGGTCTCAGACTCTGAGTCTTCATGTTGAATGTGGACCTTGTTCCTTTCTTTATTTTAGACAATATAACTTTGTCCATAAGAGGAGTTTATTATTAAACATGGAGGACATACCCTCCTGTTCATTTTTCTAATCTATCTCTGAATATCTGCATGTTGTGCCCTAAAGCGTAAGCAAACATTGTGCTAAGGACCATTTCTACATTGTCTTCAGATTAAGAGACACAGCTTACAAACAAGGGGCTAGTTACATGGCATGGAGTCTCCCCTCCTCCTCCATACCACTCTTCACTCTGCCCCCTGAGATGGACTTTTACTCTAAGAAATCTGACTCATGACTGTCAGA